ATATTGACCAAAATCCATCATATATTTGAATGAAAATATCATTATGAAGCCCATCACTTTGTACAATGAATACATGCTAATAATCTTTCTGAAAAGGAGAGCAGGAGACTGCAGCGGTGGCTCAGTGGTTAAGAGCACTGACTGTACTTGCAGAGGGCCTATGTTCGATTCCCAGCACCCAAATGGTGGCTAACAACCATCCATAACTCCAGTTCCAGGGAATCCAACACTATCTTCTGACTTTCATGGCATTGTGCTACACAGTGCATTTACACATGTGCAGGCAATACACTCATACACATAAAAATAATAAAATATTTTTAAAGGAGAGGAGATAGCTAAGAGGGTAAAAAGTACTTGTATGAATTGTTGTACAAGCATGAGGACCTGAGTTTGAATCTCTAGAAGCTACGTAAAGCTAGGCACACATTAGTAATCCCAGTGCTGATACAGTGAGATGGGAGGTAGAGGCAGAAGAATCCCTGGGAGCTCTTGGGCCAGCTCTCCTGTCATATACTGTAGTGAACAACAAAGAGGCCTGTCTCAAACAAAGTAGAATGTGAGGATTGGCACCTAAAGATTGTCATTTGACCTCCACATCCATGCTATGGCATATGCCCACCTGCACTCACACACATGAACACATACATATATCATACACACATGCAAATAAAAAACAAAAAGAAAACTCAAGAAGGACAAGTGTTATTTTATACACTCTTTCTGTCTTCCTTTCTTGTGTTCCAGGATTCCTAGATCATGTCCTTTTTTTTCCAGGAATTTCCTGTAGTCATTCTTTTAGGGTAGATCTACTGTCAACATAGCTTTCCTTCATGAAAGTGTCCTGGCTTTTCTTTAATTCCTAAAAGATACTGTTCTAGTTTGCTTTCTGTTGCTGCGATAGCACATTAACCAAAAACTACTTGGGAGAGGAAAGGGTTTATTTCATTTTACACTTCCGAGGCATAGTCCATCTTGAAGGCAGTCAAGCAGGAACTCGAGGCAGGAATCTGGAGTCAGGAGCTGAAGCAAAGTCCATGGAGGAATGCTGCTTACTGGCTTGCTTCCCCTGGCTTGCTCAACTACTTTTCTTATGTAGCCCAGGTCCACCTGCCCACAATGGGCTGGGCCTTCAATTAACAATTAAGAAAATGCCCCACAGACATAGCCACAGGCTGATCTGATGGAGGAAGTTTCTCAGTTGAGATTCTCTCTTCCCAGATGTATCGAGTTGGCAACTGAAGCTAACCAGCACAGATATTTTTGCTGGATATAGAATTCAAAGTTGATCATTTTCTTTTGAACAGGAAAAGTGTGTCATTTCTTTCTGGTCATCATGGTCTCTGGGTGGAAATATGCTGTTATTTTAATTTTCCTCCCATAGATAAGTTATCATTTTTCTTTTCTTGTTTTTAAGAATTTTTCATTGACTTATTTTTCAAAAAATTCTTTTTAATTTAACCTATTTGAATTTTTCTCACTTTCTTGAACCTATAGACTTATGCCTTTTGCTAAGTTTGAAGTTTTTCAGCTATTAGTTCTTCAAATGCTGTTTAAGTTCTTTCCTTTCTTCTCTCTTTCTGAACTCTAATGTGACAAATATTAGTTCTTAGATCCCTACAGGGCCTTGAAGTTCTGTTCCGTTTTTTCCAGTGTATTTGTTGAGTTGGGTAATTTCTATCTTTAAGTTGACTACTTTGTGTCCTTTCTGTTCTGTTACTAGGATTATTAGTTGAAATTCTAATTTCAGTTCTTTTTCAGTTTAAAAATTTCACTTGGGTTTTCTTTCTATCTTTTGTTTCTTTGCTGAGATTTTCTAGTTTGTGATTTGTTTTAGATGTTGTTCTAAATGTCCGTTGAAGTATTTTTATAATGGTTGCACTGAAATACTATCTACCTAGTTCCACATCTGAGTCACCTAGGTGTTGATGTGTGTGGATTGGATTGTCTTGTGCTACTCACACTGAGATTTCCTGGTGTAATGAATGATTTCTTTGATGTATGCTAGACATTTGGGATATTATGGAATTATGCATCTTATTCAAATCTTCTATTTGGTATGCTTCTTTTGACACTGTATTGGTGAGGGGAGAGAAATGGTATCTTGCTTCTTCCAGGTGGATGTGGAAGTCTAGTTTCCCTATTTGACTATCCTCCAGAGATGGAGGAATGCTTTGTTACTTTTGAACAGGGATGATGTCCTAGTTTGTTTCTTCATTGCTGTGACAAAGTACTCTGACCAGTACCAACTTGGGAAGGAGAGGGTTTATTTGGCTTACACCTCCCAGGTCACAGTTCATCAGGGAGCCCAAGGTAGGAACTCAGGGCAGGAACCTGGAGGCAGGAGCTGAAGCACAGGCCATGGAGGAACGCTGCTTACTGGCTTGTTCCCCTGGCCCCTGCTCAGCCTGCTTTCTTATGCAACACAGGCCCACCTTCCCAGGGGTGGCACCACCCACATCTCTCAACAATCAAGAAGATCCCCATGGATATGGCCACAGGCCAGTCCAATGAAGGCACTTCCCCAATTGAGGCTCCCTCAACCCAGGTGAGTCAAGTGGACGCTAAAGCTATCCAGCACAGGTGGTATGCCTGGCTCTCCACCTTGACCTCTATTGATACCACCTTCCTGGAAAAGGAGAAGGTTTTTGGTTACTGTTCTAGCTTGCTCTATATTGCTGCAATGAACACCATTACCAAAAGCAGCTTGAGGAGAAAATAGTTTATTGCATCTTACACTTCAGGCAATAGTCCATCACTGAGGGGAGTTAGGGCAGGAACTGATGCAGAAAATGAAGCCGAAATCATGGAGAAACACTGCTTCCTGGCTTGCACTCAAGCTCATGCTCATATAACCCAGGCCCTCCTGCCCAGAGATGGTACCACCCACAGGACATTGGGCCCTCTCACATTAATTAACATTCAAGACAGTTATCCACAGATATGGTCATAGGCTAATCTGACTGGAGAAATTCTTCAGTTGTGATTTCCTCATCTCAAGTAACTCTAGGTGTTGTGTCAAGTGGACAGCTGAAGCTAATTAGGATAGTTACTGCTCCCCATTTGACCTCCACAGTGAGAAGAGGTCCCTTTCCCACCAGAAGATAGTAAAGATTCTGGCTCCCTATTTGGCATTCTCCAACACTATCCTGATGGGAAGGGGCTGTTTCCTTAGGGGTGCCCAGTAGAGGGAAGTCTTGACTAATCATTTCATCTTGGAGGATGAGAATGGGGTTTGTGATCACATATTTTTGTGGTATTTGATTGTAGTAGGGTAGTTATTGTCTAGAAGTTTTCTGTGTTGCGTGGCTAACGCTTTTCAGCATATCTTGCAGGGAGTAATTTTTTCTGCCTTCACTGGCATTTACTGACCAATGACTTCTCCAGTTTTTAGTTTGGGATCTATGAAGCCCAAGAAAGCCAATGTGACTTATCTAAAAAATGTTCCCCAGCTCAGGAGGTGAAGGCATGTGTTTGAGGCTGCCTCTGCCGTATACTGAGTTCAAAGTCAGTCTGGGTTTGGTTGCTAGCTGATGGCCTTTTTAGAGGCAGTTGGATCATGAGAGCTCTAGAGTCCATAGGTGAATGGACTAATGGATGGTGAGGTCTAATGAGAGAAAGAAATAATGGAGAGTTAGGAAGTCTTGCTAAATTAATGTACAATTGTTTCTTAAGAGAATGTTCTGTTCTTTTCCATCAGTCTTGTCCACCTGCAGGCACTGAGGTTGTGCCCTTGAAAGGTATATTTTGTCCCTGGTCCCTTCCTCTTATTCTCTGCTTCCCAGTCACTATGAAGTGAGCAGATTTCTTCTTCCCTGCACTTTCTGCCATGGTATTTCAGCCTTGCCTCAGGTCCATTGTAATGGATCCTGCCAAACATGGACTGAAACCACAAGCCAAAACAAATCCTTCCTCCCTTAAGCTGTTTATCTGAGGCTTTTTGTCATAGTGGTGAAAGCTAACACAGTGTTTATTCCATCTTGTCTCACAGCTAGAAATCTAATCTGTTTTCAAAAAGCAAACTTGTTAAACTTCTTCCCTGCTTCCATATGACTGAAAAATTAGTCTTTAAACTCACTGAGGAAAGGATTATGCCTTCTGCAGATCAGCAGAGTGACTGGCATAGTGTATCTCCTCAATAAATATTAATCATATCTCTACAGTTAATCCACACTAGAATCCATTTCCAAGTGATTGAAATGTATGGTTGTTTTCATAGGAAAGCAGAAATCAGCTTTTTACTGTAAAAATTAAACCGTTTTGCTGTGGGATACAAGCTGCAAGTTATACTTGTGATGACCATGTTGATTTGTCATTCTAACTATGGACCATTCTAAAGATTAAAGAGAGTACTAAGAAGACTTATGCCCAGATAGTGTAAGCAGAGACTTTAATGGGCCAAGTGGAACACATGATCACCTTAGTTCACCTGTTCTTTTGAATTTCATATTGACTTAGTTAAGGTATACTAGAAAAAAAAACATTCTTTGTTTTTCTCAAGTACCTCATATATTCTGGTGCATATATACTGACTCGTATTCATTCTCTCTCTCATATAAAGAAATAAGGGAGAGTTAGGCAGTCTTGCTAAATTAATGTACAATTTTTGCTTAAGAGAATGTTCTGTTCTTTTCCATCAGTCTTGTCCACCTGCAGGTCTTTTAAATGCCATTAATGCTTACTCCAAAGGGCATTTAGTTAATAATGATTATCAGAAAAAAATGCTTGTTAAAATGTTTTGGAATAACTGGAACACAAATGTTTGAAAAGGCCCAATTCACAGCTTTTATTCAAGTTGTAAAATGGGAATTACTTCAGGTGTAAATAATTTATCCGGACAAATTTGTTTCATTTTGGTGTGTGCCTGCCTGCCTGCTGGCCTGTGCATGTGAGGTTTTATTTTTGGAGCCCTGGGATGCTAACCTTTGTTAGATTAGCACTTCTCATGAATCAGAGACCTCTAAGTCCTTTTTCACTGAAATGCTTGTACTTTTCTATAGGCAATCTTCCAAACAGAAGAAAGCCATTCAAACTGCCATCCGCAAAAATAAAGAGGCAAATGCAGTGCTGGCCCGCTTGAACAGTGAACTCCAGCAGCAGCTCAAGGTAAGGAATGCTTCCCATATTTGGATTCCCTGGCTTTTCCTTCTGTTTTGCTTTGTTTTGACCATTGACTGCCCATACCTTTCACTAAGAACTCACCTTTGTTCTCAAATGCCTTTTGGTAATTGGGGAATAACTGTATTTAAGTTTCAAGGGTTGATTCTTGAATGCTTAGAGGAAAACTAGTTACTTTAATATGGAGACTGTATATTGTACGTGGTAATTTACTACAGCAGTAATTTATTCTCTCACATCTCTGGAGTCTGAAATCAAGGTGTCAGCAGAGCTGTGCTTGCTGACAGCTCTAGACATGACTCCTTTTTTACTGCTTCCCAGCTTTAGGTAGTTTCTGGCAATATTTGGCACTCCTCAGCCTCTACATAAAATGTTCCAATCTCTGTCTCCATTGTCAGATGGCATTCTTCCTGTGTCTGTTATTTATTCTTATTATGCTTTTCTTAAAAAGATACTAGTCATTGGATTACATCCAGCCCAACGTAATCAAGTACAGTGTCATCGTCACATGATTCCATTTGGAAAGATTCTGTTCACATATAAGGCTACATTTACAGGTCCTAGGAATTAGGACCTCAGTCTTTTATGTTGAGCAGTGGGCAGATATATTTTGGATACTAGTAATTTGTTAGTATGGTGGTTTGAATGAAAATGTCCCCCATAGGCTCCAAGTGTTTGGACATTTTGTCCCCAGATGATGGCGCTGTTTGGGGAGGTTTTAGAAGGTGTGGCTATCCTGGAGGAAGCACGTCACTGGGGGGTGGGCTTACAGAGTTCTTAAGATCTCCAGTTGCTTCTCTTCCTTCCTTCCTGTGCCTGCATGATGATGTGAGAGCTTCACTTCTGCTGCTCCTGGTCCAGCCACCATGCCTCCCTGCCATGATGGACTGTAATTCCCCTGGAACCATAAGCTCAAATAAACTCTTCCTTCTATAAGTTGCTCGGGTCAGTGTTTCTATCACAGCAACAGAAAAGTGACTAATACAGTTAGTTATATGTTTTGTGAATATTTTCTTTTAGTCAGTATTTTGCCTACTCATATAATTAACTATAATTTTATAAGCAGTTGTTTTAAACTTTTATAGAATCTAGATTTGTCATTTTTGTTTGTTTTATGTTTATTTTTTTCTATGTAAGGTAACTTTGCCTGTCTCTAGGCTATAAAATTAGTCTTAGATGTTTTTGTCTAATATATTTATATTTTTTCCTTTTACAGTTTTTTGAATTACGTTTGTCCATGATGTGACATTAGGGTTGAGATTTATTTTTCCCCATTTTAATATTTACCTAATCCAGCACCATTTGTTGAAAGGACAGTCCGCTTTGGATTACTTTGCTGTCATTGTCAAAAATCTAATGGCCTTATAATTGTAGGTTCAATTCTGAGTTCTTACTCTGTTCCATCAGTCTTTCTGTTGATCCTTATGCTAGTACTACACAATCTTGATTGCTGTTGCTTTATACTAAATCTTGAAGTCTAGTAATATAAAATTTTCAACTTGTTCTTTTTCATGATTACATTGGATATTATAAGCCTCTTGTTTCATGTACATTTTTAAAATTGGTGAGAAAATTCCACAAAATAAAAACCGTTATGATTATAGTAAGATGTGCACTGAGCCTATAGGTCAGTTTAAGGAGAATGACATGTAAACAATGTTGAGCTTGTTAATCTGCAAAGAGAGGAATCTCTACAATTATTTTACCCTTCCAGGGGTTATGAATTTTGAGTATGTAAATCTTATACATCTTTCGGCAAATTGTCTCAAATTTTTATCACATGATTACAAATTGAATCTTTTTTTAAATTCAATTGTCTGGTTGAATTTATGAAGGTTACAGGATATAAGATCAACACACAAAATAGTAATAGTCCTCTGTTTAAGCTGTAAACAATTGGTAATGGAAAGTTTTAAATTACCACTTCACAATAACTGGCCTCATCCCCCAAATGATTTATCAGAATACACCTAGAATTTGCCCACTGGAAACTACAAAAATTCTGCTGAAGGAAATCCAAGAAGACCTAAATAGAGGTAGAGACATACTTTCTTTGTATATTTAGAAGATTCAGTAGAGTGAAATGTCATTTTTCTCCCCAGTGATCTTTAGATTCATTGCAATACCAATTACGATCCCAGCAGGAATTTTTGTGATTATAAACAAGCTGATCTAAACACTTATATGTGAGGGCCAAGGAACTACAATTGCTGAACTCAATCTGAAAAGGAAGAACACATGGAGAAATCACTGTCATGCTGCAGTAACCAAGACAGTATGGTGGAGAGCCTGGTGCATAGATCAGAATCCTGAAATAGACCACAGAATAAAGGCATTTGATATAGGACAAAAATGCAAAGTCAATCCAACAAGAAAGGCTAGTCTTTCAACAATATGTTTAATAAGTGGTCACCCACGTATAAAAAATAATGAATCTTGAGCTAAGTCTCACATCTTATACAAAGATTAACTTAAAATGGCTTATATATAAACTGTTAGAAGAATGCAAAGGCAGTGCCCTACAAGAGATAGGTGCAGGAAAAACCTTTCTAAATCAGACATTACTTGCTCAAGAATCAAGGTCAACAATTGACAAATGGGGCCTCATTAAACAAAAAAGCTTCTGTAGAGCGAAGGAAACAAACAATTCAGTGAAAAGGAAGTCTGCAGAGTGGGAGAAAATCATCACCAGCTTTTCATCTGACAGATGAATATCCAGATTATACAAAACATTCAAAAAACAAAGAAGCAAGAAAACAAATGACCCAATTTAAAAATGGGCTATGGGTCTGAATAGACAGTTCTTGTGCTGGATAGCTTTAGTGTCAACTTGACACACCTGGGTTGAGGGAGCCTCAATTGGGGAATTTCCTTCATTGGACTGGCCTATAGCCATGCCCATGGGGCACCTGCTTGATGAGTGATATGGGAGGGCCCAGCCCACTGTGGGTGGTGCCATCCCTGGGCAGGTGGGCCCGTGTTGCATAAGAAAGCAGGCTGAGCAGGGGCCAGGGGAGCAAGCCAGTAAGCAGTGTTCCTCCATGGCCTGTGCTCCAGTTCCTGCCTCCAGGTTCCTGCCCTGAGTTCCTACCTTGGCCTCCCTGATGAACTGTGACCTGGGAGATGTAAGACAAATAAACCTTTTCCTCCCCAAGTTGGTAGTGGTCAGAGTATTTTGTCACAGCAATGAAGAAACAAACTAGGACAGTTCTCAAAAGAAGAAATAACAATGACTAATAAACACCTTAAAAATTGTTCAACATCCCTAGTAATTAGGGAAATGCAAATCAAAACTACTTTAAGATTTCATCTAACCCCAATCAGAATGGCTAAGAGAACAAATGATACCAGATGCTGGCATGGATATGGGGAAAGGGGAACCCTCATCCACTATTGGTGGGATAGCAAACTAGTGTGAAACCACTTTGGAAATCAGTATAGAGAGCTCTTAAAAAACTAAAAATAAATCTGCCATATGATCTGGCCATACCACTTGGCATATACCCAATGGACTCATCCTATTGCAGAGATACCTGCACAGCCATATTTATTGCTGCTCTTTTCATGATAGCTAAGAAATTGAAGCAACCTAAATGCCCCTCAACTGATGAATGGGTAATAAAAATGTGGTACATTTGTACAATGGAGTTCTACTCAGCAATAAAGAAAGATGAAATCATGAAATTTGCAGGTAAATGGATAGAACTAGAAACTGTTGTACTAAGTGTAGTAACACAGTGTCAGAAAAACAAGCAACCTGTGCTCTTTCTCATTTATGGATCTTAGTTCCAAATCCCTAAATGTGAGTGTACATCCTGATGTAACTGCAGGAACAAGGAAAGTGGAAATGAACTATGGGGATAAAAGGAAAGAAGGAGCTTGAGAGAGGGAGATAGTAGGAGACACATTATTAATGAAAAAATGCGGAAAGGGGGGGTACTTTTACTTTTACTGGGGAGGGAGTAGAAAGGATTATACAAGGGAGTAGGAGGAGATAAATAATACTTAAATAGTACGAAAAACCACAGGGAAATTTATTAGTTCAAAGTCCTACTGAAAAACACACATACAATAAATATATGACTACATGTATATAGCTGAAGGCTATATAACAAGAAACATAGTGCCAGACAGGAGAAACCTCCCTTTGAGTTGTTGGTCAGGGTAGTCTAAGAGACTCCCCAAATAACACAGGCTATTGACAGAGCCCTTGATTGTCATCCAGAACTTGAAGTTAAGACCCTATTACTGATGACAGGCCACACTTCAGACACAGGATTTGGAGTAGTTGAGCTGGAACTGACCAGGAAGCCTCCTCCCTGAAGAATAACTCTCATAGTATGAGAGGATACTATACAAGCTGCTAAGGGAGAAAACCAATCAATGGCCCTACCCATCTGTAAAGCTTAATAAACAACAATGGCTGACCCAGCAAACTATCACTATTGACACAGTAGTGGCACTTTTATCTTAAGGGTAATCAACAGCTGTCTGATTGGAATTAAGGCCCTTTCAATGGGAGGGAACTCATGTGTGGTACTGTAAACATAGCTAAATACACATGACTGGAGAGGTCATAGATCCTAGAGAAAAATCTACTTTTGCCACATCGTTAGACCAATATAATTTATTGCTTGATTCTAAATGTGCATCCTTATATTTGCAGACAGTCGTACCTGTCACCCCTCATCAAATTAGCTTCTTTTTGCAAGAGATGGACAATATTACAGAGTTCTAGAACTGGTCAAACACGGAGAATAAGTATCTGTGAGATGATTAAACCTAAGTGACACATCTTCAATGCAACCTCTACATACAGGATGAATGCATCTCTCAACTCTCACCAGAGAAGTTTCCTTATGCAGCAGGTGGTGATTTAACATAGAGACCCACAATTAGCCAATGTGCAGAGGACAAGAGGCTGCAGAGTGCTTATCCCTGAATAGGATACTTATTTCAAACCTCTGCCTTCCAAGGCTCAGGGATCA